ATTAAAGTAGTAGGAATGTTTAAAGTTGAAATTGGCACTAGAAGGCTGGTAATTGGGGCATCCACCCTACAAAGCTTGAATATAAAATTTAAATCAGATGCGTGTAATCACTCTGGGAGCTTGTAGCAAACTAAACGCGCGGCCAACGTGTGGACGCGGCGACCAAACTCTGCCAACAATCCTTTGATCTTTTGTAAAAAACCGACACCACACGGATCTCGCGCCAACTTGCGGGCCATCGTTCCAATACATACCAATGAAGCCCAAACACCCCGTCTACACGTTGGCCAATGCTATTGGCCACTACATTCGCCACTGTGTTGGCCAACGTGTAGAGGCGCCGTATGTCTAATTAGTAACCTGTGTCCTCGTCAGTCGCCTTTGATGCGCCCGCGACGCTTGACTTTTCGTTGTGAGATTATTGTGAACGTTACCTTGTTACGATGGCTTACCGATACTCAAATGTTGAGTATACCGAAATGGTGCGAATTTTAGCAATTTGCAATGATAATGTTAGTGAAGCCTGCCGTGAATATTCAAGGCGTTTTCCCAACTTACGTGCACCGAGCTACGCTACGATGCTAGGCGCTACACAGCGATTGCGAGATTACGGGCAATTCCAGCCTGTATCTATCGATCGTGGTCGTCCACCGCGGCGCACAGTACGTGAGCAGGAAGACATACTGCAGTTTTTTGAATAAAATCCCGCAGCGAGCACTTATGAAGCAGCCCGACAGTACAATGTGTCACAATATTACGCATGGAGTGCCATACACAATGAAGGGAAGTACCTCTTTACCCACCGTGTTCATGAACTCAGCGAAGCTGACAAACCTGCGTGAGTTACATTTTGTAATTGGTTACTAGCTGCTTAACGAGCTAACATTTTATGGACTGATGAAGCAACATTTGGCAGAAATATTTAATACGCACAATGAACACTTGTGGTGCTATGAAAATCCACATGAACCAAGACCACATAGCTTTCAACACCGGTTTAGTGTCAATGTGTGGGCAGGCCTTATTAATACAACGTTACTGGGCCCTGTTTTCATAGAAAGATTAAATGGTGAAAGCTATCACAATTTTCTCACCGACACGCTGCCAGAATTGTTAGAGGATATACCACTTGCATCTCTACGCAATATTTATTATCAACTTGACGGGGCACCGGCGCATTATGCTCGTCAAGTTAAGGATTATTTAAACAGAGAATACCCTGGACGCTGGATCGGACGTGGCGGGCCTTGTGCATGGCCTCCCAGAATGCCAGATATCACACCAATGGATTTTCATTTGTGGGGGCATGTAAAGACGTTAGTGTATACTGGTCGCACACTCGAAACCCGCGACATGTTGAAAGAAAAAATAATTTGGGCATTCGATCAAATCAAAATGAATACTCAACTTTTATCTCGTATCGGTGAACAGTTAACTTTTAGGTGTCACCTATGCATAGAATGTGGAGGTGATTATTTTGAACGCTATGTGCGCGATACTCACCGCCATCCGCGGACGAGTACCTCTAATTCTAATGTATAAATTTGTATTTTAATATTTTTATTGAACCCTTTTTACCTAAATATTTTTATTCAATTACTGTTTTAAAATGTGTGCTAAATTTAATCATTATAAATATTTTATTGTAACATTTGTATCCATTTTTTAAATACAACTTGCATTTAATAAATAAAAAAATTGCTAATAATGCTCGACATTTAATTTGCACGTGCTGCGAACCGAAAAGGGCAGGCGGCGCCTTTGATGACGCCTGTATCGACGTCAATATACCTTTGGCTTGGCCTTGGTCTGCCGTACATGCGACGTTGCTTGAGGCGTTGCTAACCGCCGGAGGCGGCGTTGCCATCCGAAGGCAGCATTACTGGCAAGCAGTGATCGTAACAAACTACCTCAATGTTTATTAAGAAATGTCTAAATTCGTAAACAAATTAATAAAATAATCAAATAGTTAATCAAATTGCTTTATACAAAAAAGGAGTATATGAAAAGTTAAGGTAAATTTGTCATTTGGAGTGGCACCCTGGCACCATAGGCACAGTGGTGAATAGTTTAGTAGGCTGTATAAAAAAGTACTCTGTGGGCAGTAGGCACTCTCGACGACACAATCAGCTGAGCGCGGGCGTCAACCGACGCGGCGGCGCGTCGAAGAGGTCATACTTTATAATTAGCTATTGCTCATTTTAATATTTGTGATTTTTAAAATACAGACTTAAAAGGAGTCAGACATGACAATAAAAACTTAAAAGTAGCTTATATGTAAACGTATTACATTCTGTAAAGAGTGAGTAATTCTGTAAGAGCTAAAATTGTTTGTAATTATGCCACCATTATATTCCCAAAAGGTCTTTAGTAAATTAAAAATGACCCTGTATACTAGTACCTTGTTGAACAAAACGCGTAAGCGACGCCGTTTCGGCGGCGTTTACGACTTTTTTCTCGCGAACATTAAGCTATAGTCTATAATGCTTCCTATCTTATTTTCTCCCACGTTAAATCTCATGAACTTATTTGTCTGTCTCTTTTTACTGTCGCTTTTTCGTTTCATCCTGTTTGAAATCACAACGATGCTAAAGAATTTTTCACTTCATTAATAAATAAATTTGATGAAATAAATGGTCTTTGATTATCATCTAGTTGACGCCGGGCGGATCGCTAGTTTTACATAAAATAGAGAAACAAATGATCTCACAGTCTACCTAATGGTTAGTAGTTACTGTATTATCTGGATAAGTGTCGCCAACTTCAAACAAATAAGGCTACAAATACGTTGTCACATCTGAGGACTAAGATGGAATGCCTCACAGCCTGTAATTACACTAACTCTTTATCCCGTTCAAACGAGATCACTGCAGTGTAAGCACTGCCATTTAAAAGGACATTTCAAAAGAACTCCTACCACATAGTAAAATCGCCATTGTTACGAGGAGTATTCCAAGGTGTCCTGTATACAGCTTGGGCTCTAACTAGTCGTTTGCAGGCTTACTAAATATGCACAAATTCTTGACTTCCCTCCACTTTGATCGTATAGTTTATATATATATATATATATATATATATATATATATATATATATATATATATATATATATATATATATATATTAGTCTATTGGCCATTCGGGTCTTGTAAGTGTACGAATAGGCCAAATCGTTACAGATATCATTCGGTAAGATGATTTTTAGTACTTCTGTCCACTGATGGACATGTCTCTCAATGTAAAGACGATTTTCTATAATCGTCACTCTTGAAGGTGATCACCGTCTGTTATGTTAGAGAATGTGAAAAATAAAACCTCATAGTATAACATGTAAAACTTTTTATTAAGAAAATCTTTTCCACAAATAATGTATATACCTTCATATAAGTACCTAGTCTTTTCACTTTACACTTTTACTTACTTCACCTTACACTTTAACCATGATAACGTGTAACATGATAATAACACAACAAATTTTGTTCCCGTTTGCCGCGGCCTTGATGTGAATAATAAATAATTCGCTGCTTATAAAACATAAGTCTTTTTATAAATAGAATATCAGGACAATTATACAATACAATCATTACAATATATGTTTGACAGTTTAATTTATTACTAGTAATGCCTGCAGCAGTGGATTGTAATGGTAACAATAATCGAATGTCGAAACATTTACAAAATAAAATATGATGACAAACTGAATCAGTTACTTTGCAGAAATTCACTGTACTCAAGATGACAAATTAATAATCAAAGATAATTTAAGTAAGATGTCCTTTCCTTCCACAATATATTGCATGCGATTAATTGATGGATGGATTCAAGTAAGGGTGACAAACAAGCACATACTCCACCTGATGGTAATCGAATGCCCAAAAAGCACTCATAAATATCCTCAATTATAAATCTAAATGCAGATGCGTTATCACCTCTGAGGACTAAGATGGAATGCCTCGTTACCAGTAAAAAGGTCTTCAGTTGCCGTCACTCACTATACGAAAAACAGAAGCATAATGCTGCTATTTTACGATGGTACTCTGTGCACAGTTCTTTCTCGGTTGCGTCGATACTTTCGACTGTAGCACGTTTAGCAGGTTCGTCCTTCAACTTCAACCTAAGTAGAGATCGTCTAATTTTAATTTGCGTGGGCATACCTTGTGTTTTAGGTAGATTTTATCATTTTTATCATGTCAAATACAGCTAGCAAAGGTCGTCGGAAATGATATGATAAATTTTTTAAACCTAATACAATTATGATTAGATTTGAATTACTCAGTACTTTGTAAAATTTGTTATTTTATTGTTACAAAAATCTTTCATATAATATATGCTTCATAAAAGTTAATAAAAATAATTTCCATTAATCAGTAGATATTATTATCAGTGGTCACAGAAAGTTACATTTTGAAGTAAAATAAGATAAAGCTTGAATTATAGACTATGATTTAAAAATATATATATACTTAAGTAGTGAATATCAAATTAAAATATACATATAACAAAATATACATTTTACAATTCAAACGACAGGTGTACAATTTGTTCCACAATAGTATTTAAATGTTGCAAGCACTTTTAATTATCCACAGAATAAGACTTCATTATAAATCTAAAAGAAGCTGCTTCGACTTTGGACTTAATGACGTTGCATAAGCCGCAACATTAAAGTAAATAATAAGTTATTATTAAAATTTATTTATCATGATTTTAGGTTGTGTGGTTTTCAAGAGAAGCCATAATACCTTCAGATACTATTTTGAGTAAAACGACCTCGACACTTTAGTTTCGTTTTAAACATCTTACGAAACTATCACAGCAGAAAATTTTAGAAAACAATGGATGCGACAAACACATGAAACACTTTACATATTTTTTGAGTTTACTAAAACTATCACTAGTAATTCGTGTTCTTTTTCGTCACATTAGTTTGTAATTTTTATTACATACACTTTGTTTACGAGCACATCCACTTTTGAAGTACGTTATATATGTTTGCCGTCACCTAGTAGTAATCCGTGTATTTTTGTTTCCTAAACACAAAAAAGAGATTAAAAAGTATTAAAACGTTTATAAATTTCGATATAAATGATAAACGCATCTAATAAATAACCCACCTTAATATTCTTCGATTAAACAGAGCTGTAGTTAATAGCATACAGGGTAATGTTGGTGCCAATTTTCGAGCTCTGCTTTGCATGGCTGCTGGGCGTTCACCGTTCACTACGTGAACTAATATGGACGCTGAATCTGTTAGAGGAAAAAATAAAATTCTTATGAAATGAACTATAGATTGATTAGGTTTTTTATTTTGAAATTACAATTAGATACAAATTACATACTGATGAAACATGAATAATATTTTTTGATCTTATTGACATAACAGAAAAAACTGAACTGGTTATTTGAATAAAAAATCATGAGTGCAATTAGTTTAATTAAAATTTTCGTATTTTTAAAAAATACCAAAAACTTGGAAAAAAAAAGGAAAAAAGTCGGACCGAAGACAGGACGGGAACCAGGGCACTACGATTTCGCGACCGCTCGATATCCACTTGAGCTATTACGATCAATAACACATATCAAAATTTACCTTCTTATATTGTAGCAGCTTTTCACTGCCTGAAAACACGGACAAAAAGACATTTTCTAAAAATAAATCCTAGCTAGATCGATTTATTGCCCCCGAAACTCCCGTTCGATTTATATATATATATATATATATACGAGAATTACTCGTTTATTTAAATAAGGTTTAATTCGTCAAAGGTTGGAAAGAATCTATAGGTCGTATTTTAGGTTGTAGTTAAAATCTTTGAATGTTCAAATAATTGTTGCTACAAGACATCATCATCACAAGCTGTGCTGAACATTGGCCTCCTAAAATGGATAAGAATACCAGCGTAAAATAGTACATTAATTCTGCTGTGTTTCGTATGGTGAGTGTAGAGAACCGGAGACCCTTTTTACGGGAAACGAGGCATTCCATCTTATAGTCTAATCAAGAAAGGTAATGCATGACAACGCATCTGAATTTTGAGTCTTAATCAAGGATAGATGTAAACCACTTACCATCAGGTGGACTGTGTGCTCGTTTGTCACCCCATACTATATATATATATATATATATATATATATATATATATATATAAACTTTAAATCATACATTTTTAACAAATATGGATTGGTTTGAAATAAATAAATTATTAATATTACTATATAGTAGAAGCCACTGGCGCCTAAAATAAAGTAATACGCAAGGTTTTTAGAGAATAATAGTAAGTCGATGTCACATAACTATATTACGGCGTAATAACTTCTTTCCATTAAAAAGGGTCTCCGGTTCTCTACATTTACCATACGAAACATCTGCATTAAGGTAATTTTTTTTTCATAGTTAAAGACGCTATGAATTTATTAGAAAACACATTGTAGTATTTTTATTTTAAAATCTTAACATTGTAAACAGCAATAATAATGATGGCCATCATCTCAGCTCATGTAGATAAAGCGGTGGTGCTCCCGAATCCTAAATACTGATGTCTTCCTGCTTTTTATTTGCATTAGGATTCGATATGAAAAAAAGTAGCCGGATAACCGGATGATGATGATGATTTTTTTGAACTGAACTGGTTATTTGAATAAAAAATTATGAGTGAAATTTTAAATTAAAATTTTCGTATTTTTGAAAAATATATATACTTATAAAAAAGGGCTCTAAATAATAGATTTTCTCAAAAAAGAAGGGAACTTGGGAAAAAAAGGGGAAAAAAGTCGGACTGAAGACGGGACTCGAAGCAAGGCATTACGATTTAGCGACCGCGCGATATCCACTTGAACTATTACGATCATTAATACAATGCCAAAATTTACCTTCTTATATTGTAGCAGTTTTTCATTGCCTGAAGACACCGACAAAAAGACATTTTCTAAAAATAAATCCTAGCTAGTTCGATTTATTGCCCCCAAAACTCCCTGCACACAAAATTTTATGAAAATCGTTGGAGCCGTTTCCAAGATTCCGATTATATATATATACAAACTTCACATTTTAGTTTTCTTTTTATCATCATATCTTCATTACTTTTCCTTGTTAATGTAGATTAGATAGTAAAATGTAATGATTAATAAGCTCTCATTGGAATGTTTATTATTTAGTATTATAATTTTTCTTGTATGTTGGTAATTGTTATTGTAATCTTTCTTTGGAATGTTTAGTATTAGTGATAAAAGTATATTGTAAGGTAGATATAATTGCTAGTTAACATACTGTAACTTTGACACTTTGACTCATCTGACATTAACACCTCTCACTCTCACTTTTGTGTCTATGGTATGTTAATGTTCCGTTTCTTCACTTATTGTTAAGTGAATTAAACATTTCTTTCCATAATGCTGGCAGTTTACTGATGACTTATTTATTTTTGAATTATATATTTTATAATTATACATATTATAATACATACATATAATAATACATATTTACTTAGTTTTACATATAATCAGATATAATTTAATATGATTTCTTCAGATGATAGTGTTCGGAGTTCCAATTCCTTCGCCTTTGATTCTGCCTCTGATGGATTAAGCAGTATTGACAGCTTTGAAAGTATTGTATCCTTAAATATTATGTTAGATTCAACTTTTTCTGAATTTTACAAAAACTTTTACGCTATTCACATAAATGCTCAAAGTATTCCTGCTCATTACCCCGACATGTCAAGTTTTAATAGCAAAAACATACATGCTATTCTTGTTTCGGAGTCGTGGTTAAAACCATGTCTTCCATCAACGTCCTACTCGCTTCCAGGTGTTTTCATTTGATTCGTAACGACCGTACCAATGGGGGCGGTGGTGGTGTTGCTATTTATCTGCGCTCTCATATACCTTTTTCAGTAATTCAAGTTTCAAATGGTTCGCAGACTGGAAGCGAAGCTGAATTTCTCTTTATCTAAGTTCTTCTTGGTCATACAAAATTACTTCTCGGAGTTTTTTACAGTCCCTCTCTCACTGTCGACTACTATTGTCACAGTATTATTATGGGTGATTTTAATACTTGTCTTTTAAAAAACAACGCTAGATCAATCAAACTTAAATCTATTATTGAAGCAGCAAATTTAAAACTTCTTCCTACTTCTGCCACACACTTTTTCCCGAACTGTGCCCCTTCTCTTCTCGACATAATGTTTGTGTCTTTACCTGATCATGTTCTTAAATTTTGGCAACATGCTGCTGATTCTTTTTCCTCTCACGACCTTTTATACTTGTCATACAAAATCCGTCCCCCTAAAGCTAAGTCAAGGATACTACTTCAGCGTAACTTTAGTGACTTGGATTCGTGTGTAGTCGTCAATGCGTCTACTGTTGATGAACAGGTTGCTTTGTTCAACTCTCTGTTAATTCACCTTTACGACGTTCATGCTCCTGTTCATCCAGTGCGTCTAAAGCATCCTCCCTCTCCTTGGTTGACCGATGATATAAAAAAAATCATCCACATTAAAAATTGTGCCAAAGCTAAATACAAGTCACTTCCTAGCGATTTCAATAGAGAGAAGTATAGATTAGTACGGAATCGTTGCAACAATCTGTGTAGAAAAGCACAATGACGCCATATCCATGAATCAGTACAAGATCCTGACCCTGCTAGGGTCTGGAAATTTCTTAAGTCCTTAGGAGTTGGGAAATTACGACAAAATCTCACACACCATAACTTTGATCTCAATCAACTTAATTTGCATTTCTCATCTTCGTCTTGCATTAACGATAAAGCAAAACATAATACTTTGGATTCTCTTTCAAAAGCTCCCACTCCGGACACCTTTTAACAGTTGTGACGTTAAGAGAGCCACAATGTCCATCCATTCAAATTCGATTGTTAGTGACTGCATTAGTCGGAAAATGGTGATCCCTCTCATTGATCTCCTTTTACCTATAATCACGTCTATCCTGAATAATTCACTGAATTCTTCTTCCCTTCAGCTCGGAAAGACGCATTTTTAGTTCCTCTTCCGAAAAAGACAAATCCATGTAGTTTTTCTGATTATAGACCTATCTCTATTTTGCCTTTCTTTTCCAAAGTTTTAGAACGTCTTGTGCACAATCAATTAAGCACCTATCTTTTAAAACACAATCTTTTAAATCCCTTGCAATCCGGTTTCCGTCCTGGCCATAATACGACTACTGCACTTTTACAAATCACTGGTATGGTATGGAGAAACAAAAGCTTACCATTCTCACGTTGCTTGATTTTAGTAACGCATTAATTACTGTAGATTTTGATATCTTGTTAAGCATCCTACGCTCTCTCAACATATTTCCAACTGTAGTTGACTGGTTTCGAAATTACTTGTTTGGTCGCCGACAGCGAATTCAGGTGCAAGAGGTTTTTTCCACCTGGACTACGACAGCTGCTGGTGTACCACAAGGTGGCGTGTTGTCTCCTCTCCTTTTTGCAATTTTCATTAACTCTATAAGTCATAATTTGTCCTCTTCCTACCACCTGTAGGCTGATGATCTCCAAATCTATACTCAGTCCTCTCTTGAAGATCTATCTAAAGTAGTTGACACTATTAACGCTGATCTGACTTGTATTTCGAATTGGAGTAAATGTTATGGTTTAACGATTAATCCTAAGAAAACTCAGGTCATTGTCATCGGTAGTTCTCGATTAATTGGTAAAATTGACTGGTCTTCCCTACCCCCTATTATACTAGACTGCACTCTAATCCCTTACAGTAACAAGGTTAAAAACCTGGGGTTGTATCTTGACTCCTGTATATCTTGGACCTCACAGGTTAGTGAGGTCAGTAGAAAAAGGTTTTTTGCTGCGTTAAGCTCTTTACGTAGATTACGTAATTTCCTTCCTACAGCAACTACAGTTACGCTCGCCCAGTCTCTACTTCTGCCTATCCTTGACTATGCTGATATTTGCTAACTTGACATTACCGAGGAGCAGCTTAATAATCTTGAGCGCATTCAAAACTTATGCATTAGATTTATATTTGGGCTTCGCAAATATGATCATATCTCCGAATTTCGCAAACAGCTCAAATGGCTCCCGATCCGCCTTCGCAGGAATACTCACATTCTCTCCGCGTTGTATAGTGTGCTGTTTAATCCTTCTACTCCTCTTTATTTAAAAAACCGTTTCCAGTATCTTTCTCTTACCCATAATCGGTTCCTTTGATCCTCCGTCAATCTTTCTCACTCTACACCTTTGCACTCTTCTTCCTTTTTCAAGAAATCCTTCACTGTAACCGCTGTGCGATTGTGGAACTCCTTACTTCTCCATATTCGTCGTGCTAAATCTCTTCACTCTTTCAAAAGTCTTGTTAAATCGTATTATTTAGAACGTTATTATATAAATTACTTTACCTTTTTCGTACTCTTTTTATTTAATCTATTATATGATATTTTATATATAACTTTCATTTATTTTTATTTGTATGTATTATTATATTATTACATTTTTTAATTATTATTTTGTATGCCCCCCTCTATTTCTAACTTTTGTTTGCATGATTCCCCTACGCAAAAGTTGTCTGTAAGAAATCACTTTCAGAGTGATAAGACCGCCTATTGTACATACTTTAATTAGTTTTAACTATATTGATGATTCTGTATTGTGGTGTACAAAAAAGAATAAATAAATAAATAAATAAATACAGAATTGCTCGTTTAAAGGTATAGGATATATGTAACAAAATAATAGTTACAATAATATGGATATTCGTTTAGAATGATGTCCGAGCAAGTTATTAATTTAAATTACTTATGCGTCGAAACTCTTAAAAAATTTCTCAAAAAATCATATTATCCAAATAAGTCTTCCAAACTAGTTGTTGGATGATGAAACCAAATTAGTTCAATAAGTTAAAATATGATTGTAAATAAATATTAATTAATGGTACCTGAATTACTGGGAGCACACGTGTAATTTCCAGAATCTCTAACTGTAGCCCGTGCGATGAGCAAACGGCTCTTTCGTGTAAGTTGCTCAGTTTCAACGCTTATACCTCCTCGAAAAGCATAGTTTATAACATTTCGGCCACGATACCAGTAGATGAAACTAAGAAATGTTTTAAAATTGTGGTTATTGTTTATTAATCAATCAATATATTGTTATTTATTGTTTGCCAATAATACTACTAACTATTGAAACGACTTCGCATATTATTATGAACAAATGTTAACTTAAAAGGTTCAATGGCGTTCTAATGTGATTTCTTTATGTCAACCTTTTACGCAAGGAACTGCCATTATGAAAGAATGAAGTAAAAGGAGGTGTACTTAATCATACACTTAAAGTAATAACACAATATAAAGGCATATATTTTATTTGATCGGGTTCAGAATTATCGAATTTCTGAACACGTAATGTGTTTTAAGCTCAGTTCAAGCTGTTTTGCCTTTGCAGCATATGCTGTTGAAATATTTGAAATGTTTCTAGTGTTGAAACAGATTAGTTTAAATTTACTTATTTCTATAAGAATTATATATAATATGCAATTTTGCTCTGAGAAAAATCCGAAGGATCAATGAAAAAAATATCTTTTTACCTGGGTGCAGTCGGGGCGTGTGTGACTACGCACGTAAGATTAATATCAGAGCCAGCTCGCACAAGTACTTCGGAACCACTGAGAATTTCTGCTTTCGACACTGAAAGATTACATATTTTTTATTTTAAATATAATTTGTTGGTTTCACCTTTTAAAACACCTCTTTTTTCAACAGGAAAAACAGACCTACAACTGTAAGAAAAAATGGTAAACTGATTTTTGGTTCTGTAGACACTTGGCACTCATAAGCTCCCGAGTCTCGTAATTGAACGTTAGCTACGCGAAGTATCCATTCGTCAGAACCTTCTGTATGTATTGCAGCAAAACGTGCGTCGCTGCTGTATTTATGGACTCCCACCGTAAGAATATGCAGATCTTTTTTACGGATCCAAGAAACCTGAAGAATAGAGAACAACGAATAAATTAATAGGATTTCACTGAGATTAAAATATCTAAAGGTATTTTATATAATAAAAAGTTAAGTTATGTGTATATATAACATTTTGAAATAATAATACTTTTGCTAAATAGTTTTTGAAATAATAATGTCCTCCAGACCGAATTTCGGCCACGGCGACCTGCCTCAACGGAGGCTAGCCATCGGCGCAGGACAGGATTATAGTGCCCAAGGGTATGCGCAAGCACAGGTGCGCTCTCTATTTCCTCACTCTCATAATCCGATGGGACAGTAAACCGATACGAACGGAGAGACATCAGGCGCAGGACCAACGGCTTTACGTGCTTTCCGAGGCAAGGGGGGTGAGACACCGCCAACTTCCTGACTCCGGGCAACTACTGAGAATTTCTTGACGGAAAAACTTAATAATTAATTTTTTGGCCCGACCCGGGATTCGAACCCAGGACCTCGTGATCAGCAGTTGCACTACTACAACCACTAGACCAACGAGGCAGTGACTACTATCTATGTGTGCTATATTTATATAGCATACATAGATAGTGTATATATATATATATATATATACAATTCTTCTGTCCGTGTTTATGTGACTAAACTCCTAAACGGAAGTACCGATTTTGTTAATTTTTTTTTGTGTGTGATTAAGATAATTAGAAAGTGGCTTACATCCAAAATAGGATCCGATAGATAGCGCTGTTGTCGAGAACGAGAAATCACCCTGCGAAACTAGGGCGGATCACTAGTTACTTATCTGTTATAATTTATAAATGCCCTTAGCACAAATTTTTCACATTAACGTTATCGTGTCTCCATCGATTAAAACTGTACGAAAATATCAATAAATACAGTGAATAAAGTCGCCTAATAGCGATACCAATTCAATGCGATAGGAAACTCAATAAAAATAAGAAAACCTAACTCTTTTTCTTTAATTTTCTACATTTTTTTTCATGCAGGGGAAAGTGAAATTGAAATTTACGCTTATAATTGTAATGCGGCAAATCACGATAAATTTAATAAAAGAGAATGTCTTGAGAGACTGACTCACCTATCAACTTACAACCCAAACCTTAAGAAGTAGAAATCTGAATTTTGGACAGTAGCTGCCTTTTAAGACGTAGGTATTAACTAACAAAGGATATTTATTGAATGCTGCGATCATTATCGAATAAAGAGAATCGAGAAAGTTTTTATGTGATAGCTTGAGCTCTTCGTATTACGAGTATGCAAACTCATAATAAGTGTGGGTCATGATTGGCCAATCACGCCATGAACGTATTAACTTTGACGCGGGCCGTTAAAGAATGGGACTGAAAATGACGCCACCTCTATTTATCTCTCGCTCGCACACTGTTGCTATCTATACTCACACCCACCAGTAGGGACTACAAAAAACATATGTTGCGATGTGTGTTTTCAGTTCCGTTTGCGCGCCGCCCCCGAGCGGTCGTGCATACAGTTCTTTCGCGCTCCGACCCCTCGGTAGCGCAACCGCTCGCCCGCGCGCCCCGCTCTCCCCGGCTAACACCGGCCGAGCAGACGCCGTTGGTGAGTCACTTTGTTTTTCGCATCGTTCTTGCCCCCCTTGCGGGGAGGCTTGAGCCCGCTTTGCTTTGTTTTGTTTTATTTTTAATTTTTCTGTTATTGTTTTTGTTATACTGTTACTTGTTGTATATACTGTTCTTGGAAGATCGTCTCTTGCTCTTCTCAGAGCGAGCCCTTGTTCTTTTCAGAACATAGGGACCCCAGCTTCTGGAAATAGAACGTCAGTCCTTCCCATTTGCCCCCAAGGTCCTGTTCTTCTCAGAACAGGGACCCCTAGTTTCATAGATTAAATCGTCACCCCCCTGTCCGCCCAACATATCTACCATGGATGCCAGTCAAGTTATGGCCCTTTTCTGCCAATTCCTAAAAACCCAAGGCTTAGACCTTGACGACTTTGCCCTTGAGCTTACCCCCCGTGCCCCTCAGGCATGTACCCCTCCCCCGCCATAGTATAGCATTAGTAGCGGCCCATGACTCCGCATCCATGGAGTACTCGGACAATGTGTCTGAAACTTCGTCCACCCGTAAGAGGTCCGCTCAAACGTCAATCACCTCATCTAGTAGCTGCTCCTCGGACTCAACAGATTCCGATCAATCAGTTGTTGATACGACCTTCTTCACAGAAGTGAAATCCAAGCGCGGCTCAAAACGCGCTGCGACCTCTCGCACACCTCCCGTCCCGGCAGCTGCCGCCGTCCGCGCCCCCGTAGCCTCCGCCCCTGCTAGCATCCCCGCGCCTTCCCGCTCCACTGCAGCCCCCGCACCTGCTCGCCCCACCGCAGCCCCCGTCGCTGCCACAAAGAAACAGGTCCCGCCCCCTGTCTTCCTTAGGGACAAGGCGCAATTCACTAGACTTTCTAAAGTCTGCTACGACGCAGGCTTTAAATATGACCAAGCCACCAACCTTGGTGAATCAATTAAAATCGTTCCTCAGTCTATGGAAGACTTTAGAAACATCACCAAACTATTCACATCCGAAGGTGTGCCCTATCACACCTACTCTCTCCCTGAAGAACGTAAAGTCAGGGCTGTCCTCCGCGGAGTTCCCTTTGAACTCGCCAACGAGGAAATCCTAGAGGACCTAAAGTCCCAGGGATTCCCAGTTGAGGCTGTGCACAAGATGCACAGCAGTAGGGGCAAGAGGTACTCGCTTGCCCTCCTCATTTTGTCCAACGTGCCGGAGGCGAAAGACATATTCCGACAGGTACACACTGTGTGCGGCCTGTCGAGAGTCAAAGTCGAAACCCCCTCCTTCAGTGCCACCGCTGCCAACTCTACGGGCATGCGGCGGCCAACTGCTCAGCCCCTCCAAGGTGCGTTAAGTGCCTAGACCCACACAGCTCGAAAGAGTGTCCTCGGCCACGTGATACCGAGTACCCACCCGCTAGCGTCCTTTGCGGACAGACCGGCCATACGGCCAACCACAGAGGCTGCCCTCGCGCGCCTCGCCCCAATCTCGGCAACAAAGCTGCCAAAAAAGCTCTGCCACCGGTAAATGACCGTACATTCCCGGCTCTCCCATCCAAAATGCCCCTTCAGGGCAACTCTCAGTTACCTCAGGACCTATATCAGCCCCCCTCAGGGACCTTACAGGCCTCCTCACCTTCGCCCACCAGGGCCCCAACATCACGAGGAACCTCTTACCCCGTAAACGACAGTACACCGCAATATCGACGTAAGAGAGATCGCAATTTTAGCACGCAAACTGCGCGCTTCTCAGTCCCCTCAAGACCGTCTGCTCGCTCTTACCGAGCACCAACACTTTTTAAACTCAATATAAGTAGTCATCCCATTCTTAAGCTGCCTTAGCTAGGCAGCAACTCTTCCCAGCGGCTACTCGCCGCTAGCGCCCCCCTTTCACCCAAGGAGGGTCGCGTTCGATAAGGCTTAAAAATCTCTAGTCAGATTGTTAAGCCAGTCCCTAAAAAGGCGGTGTTTAGTGGGTAAAAGTCTCCACATAACCACGCAGCCGGCTGCGTGGTATGCTATGAGCATTCACCGCCTCCCTCCCCCGCTTTCCGGAGGGTTGCCCATATTTGCTTCAGGCGCAAAAAAAATGTGCGTTTTTCGTACGTGCTATAACTTCAGTTCGACTTGTCATTGGCATAAATGGTAAAAAATGCCATAAACTAAAAAGAATATCCCGGTTTTACAAATTTGTGACCTAGACGCGTTTCGATTTAAATCAAAATAATGAAACTAATTAAATTAAAAATTCTATTAAGTAGTTTTATTTCCTATTTTTAATTGGTCTGTTTACTATAATTATTTCAAGCTTGTTCGCTTGAGACTTGTTGTTTACTTAAAGTACGTAAGTTGCAGCACTTTTGATTAGTAGTTTATACTATATTTACCCCAAAATGTTATTTTTGAGTAATTTTCGAAACTATTTCTCTTTATTAATTATAATATTAATTATTAATAATTATGGACTAGCGAAAGGCTCTAATGAAGATGATCATGATGATTATTTATTTATTAAGAAAATACTCTTTGTTTAGATTCCGTTGTGTTATAATAGCATCGATTCCGTTGTGTTATAATCAACAATTTGTAGTCACTTAATAATGTTTTGTTTACACTCATATTTACTTTTATTTTTTTACAGTAAATAAATTACTTTAAATTATTTTTTTACGTTAAATTCTTTGCCTTGTTATAAAATAAACGACCCAAGAAATGTTATAAACTTTGGTGAAATTAAGTTTTTTGGTGCACTGACCGAGTTATATTTTTGCTTTGTAGACGATTTGATTGTTTTTAAAAATGTTTTTTTACTGTTAATTTATTTTTTAATTACATCATTTCATTTAGTGTCACGTCATTCCTGAATTTTTTATCGCTAGTATTTGACTCTTGTCGGTCATTACAAAATTTCCTCGAACAACATCAAACTAAACTATCCCTCATTTTGCCCAACTGTAAGTCTTTAAAATTGCTATGGCAGCCACCATTTTTTTCACCACCACTAGAATTTGCCTAGAGTGTATGTTGATATTAGTTATCTTATATCTCTCTTATCGTGTAGCCGGGCAATAGTGCACCATCTCCTTGAAGAGCCGATTTGCGGACGTCATTTTATTTTTATTATTTTCAGCTAACAAAACAAAGGGTTCATCTTGTTATCATTATTTGAATCCATTCATTTGATATCCTATATCATGGGTGTGAATAAAAAATATAATGCGCCATCTTTATGGGTCCACCATATTGGATTTAGAGTGATGTTATTTTATTTTTCCTATTCGTCCCAAAAAAATCTTTTATATAATATTCATATTACGGGAGTGTTTAGCAAATAACTAGTCAGTCATCTTAGTCGGTCCGCCATATAGGATTGATAATAACGTCACTTAGCTAAACGTACATTTAAAATTCAGTTGCAAAATTTGACCCGACGAGTTCGACCCCAAAACCGTAGTCGGGGACACCAAAACCCCCGTGATAAAAAAATTACAGGCGAATTGGAGTAACTAAGTTTTTGATCGTCAACTTATAACCGCCATCTTAAATTTTTTATTGTCAGCAGTTGACCCTTGTTGCCTTACAACACTTTTTCGAGCATCAGCAAACTATCTCTAATCTTTGCCGAGTTATAATAACTCTTTAAAACTAGTAAGGCGGCCATTTTGTTTGCTGCCTTTTTAGCTATGGTTATACTCCAGCTCCATCAGTAGATGTTAGTGTGCAACTTCGTGGTCACTTTTAAAGGAAGGCCAAATTGGCCTTTAAAAAGCTTGGCATGCTCAGCAGAGCGAGACAGTATTTCATGCCGGAATCGCTTGCAACTTTACAAATCGCAAATTCTTTCCATTAAATTTTTTCCATTAAGAAATTCTCAGTAGCTGCCCGGAGTCTGGAATTTGACGGTGTCTCTCACCCCTAGGCCTCGGAAAGCATGTAAAACTGTTGGTCTTACTCCTAATCTTTCTCCGTTCGTGTCGGTTTGACATCCGTAACGGAACAGACAGTGCACCTGTACTTGGACACTATAATCTTGTCCTGCGCCGATGGCTTGATGTGATGAGACTTTCCGCCATGTACCTACGAAATTCGGTCTGAAGCACATTATTATTATATTACTTATTCTGAACCCTCGGCTAATTTGGCCGGCTTTGCAAAATAGCCATGCATATAAATATAGTCGAGCATTATTCTTTTCCTTCTTCATAACCAACAGATAGAAAATAAATTGTAAATATGGAGCAGTATCTTCCTGATAACCACTAAAAGTAGTAAAAATCCGCGGTTGCCAACACGCCTGCCAAACATGGCAACTATGGCAAGTATCATCCTATGATTGGCTGTAGTGACATTGCCGTGCATGCAGACACCAGTTGCTTGCGCTGCTCGTGCAACCAGTCCAAGTCCGAAGCACTTTTGCTGTTGTGTTCACACTTATACGTCAATAAAATCTACTGTGGTGACGTGAGAAATACCTACTTTTTTGGCATAAGACTACCGCCAGACGTAAAGTTCTTTTGCTTTAAATTAAAACTACCGACTCGCCTACGTGTTGCACGGTTGAAATTCATCACTTGAATAGTATGGTGTCGACTTTTTACTACTCGATAAAATCGTTTATCTTTAAGCTATTAGGTAGTAATAGGTAAATAAACTTAGATGATTGGACCAAAAATGGAAAAATTTTAATGGCAGATTACTTTCAGAGAATTTAGTTCTATATTTAATGTAAGAAAGTAAATTAAACTTCAGGCAAAAACAAATGAAAATTTTATATTTAAATTCTGTAAGGTACTCGATATCATGATAAAGTCCAATATCAATTGTTAAAGGAACAATTCTTTAATTTAGGTATACAGCATACAGTTTCAAACAAAATTCAGACCCGCAAAGTAACTCAAAACAAATTAATAACAATACAGTCCAAAAATAAATATGGTGAGCGCATCAGCGCATACATAATACCTCGCCTAATAAATGGTCTGGATAATAAAGTTAGAAGTGAACTTACAAAAGCTAACATAAAGTATAAATTAAAATGTTTTTACCTTAACAAATATTAGCTGTTATCCCCATTTTTGTAATAAATAGTATTATAAAAATGTAGACGGAACGGCACACAACACAAACCTGCGTGGTTTCTCGCTGTGCCACATAGCAAATTTATAAAAAATTTATTTGATATTAAATTAATAAAAAAGAAGCAATTTATTTTAATCAATACACTACAGCTACAGATTAAATACCTCTCGATCACCAAGATTCTTCACCCGACAATGTAAATATGCGGGTTGCCCCACGGCAGCAGTATATTTTCGTTTAGTAACACTATCGAAGTATGGTTCGCCTTTATTTTCAAAATTGTAAGTGCTATTGCAGAAGTTTAAAATATCCATTTCTACGGTACCATCTTTTCCTGCTGTAAGACCTGGAAGGAAAATAATTTCTTTAAGATTTTATACATGTAGCTTGTTATGAATTCTTCTTTTGCTTACTTTATTAATTAAAGTCTATTCATTAAAGTTTACTGCTGGACACGTAGCGGTCACAGTAGCAGACGTCTCGCATATTTAATACTGTTTCCTGAGGCCGTTGTGTGTGTTTGAGTGAAAAATATATGGTACTACTAGCTATCAGAAACCCTTTTCCGGCATATACAGATATCGCCATCGGGTATTATATCAAAAATATACGAAATGGTATTGTATTAACATAACATAGAAACATACGAAATGTATTACCATTAAAATAAAACAAAACTAAAGCCAAAATCCTACTCCCTACGGTATAGTGCCAATAACTCTGACTGTGTCACGTTCTTTTAAGCGAGAAAAGATCCAGCCCTCACATCACCATCGGTGACGACGAGTCGCGGATACAGTTCCTTTAAAAACTTCACCGCACGTGGAGAGTAGTCATTTCTTAGAGACTCATACCTGCGGCACTTAGTTCAGCTTTTGGTGCAGCCCCGGCTCTAAAGAAGTACCCCTAAGATGAAACGCTGCCAAAGTGTCTGTGCACGTAGCATCCCACACTAGGGCTAAATATTTATGGGTATAATGTTTTCTATTGTAACCATGGGATTTTTACGGGTTCTTCTCATAGTTGCTCCTAAGACACCGAGAGGATTATATGGTGATGTTGGATTTACTTCTACGACCATTTCTTTCTTTATCGTCCTTTTAAAGTCTACTGTTGGACATGGGCATCTCACGTTGTAGAGAGGGATTTACCTTAATCGTCATGCTTGGCTACCATAATGCCAGATGCCTCACGCATTTGAGGCTGCTACCCGTCCCTGGATATTTTACGAGATGATTATACAGTTATACTGTCATTTGTGAGTATATCGTATATGTATGTTTTTTTCTCGCATTTCCAATAGTCGCCTTTAATTGTGTTCATTGTTGTTGTTAATTGTGTTCGCTACAACACGTTGACAACTTTTTCAGTAATTCTGGAATCACTAAAGAGCTAGCAGTCCAGCCATTTTCAGTAAGTGGACAATTGTAATCAAGTTCAAAACTGTTATTAAACATAGGTTTGTTTTAAGCTTATGAGTGTCAAAATCTCCACCGATGTGGAAAATAAGACTTTTTCAGAGAAGAACCTCAAAACTTTATGGTATATAATATAGCCCATTTATAACGTTGTCAAAAAATATACGTGGTTAAGCTATGCTGAAGCTATATACAGTAGAACCTCGATAACGTAATAACCTCTATAAATTCCTAAAATTTTGTGTTCCCTTCCACTCGGAGTCCAAAACCTCCTTTAATTAAAATACAAATCCTCTATAACTTAAAGGAATAATTTGGGCATCGCATCTCAGTAACTCAAAGTTGTAACGAAGACGACCTTTGCAACTTCAATCATCTATCAATGAGTAATTTTAAATGAATGTGCAAAAAATAAAGGTTCCCTGTAGATCATTGTTATTGCTTACAGTGTTTACCAAATGGCTTCAAATGTAACAATACACTAATGTCTAAGTACAGTAACTTATTTATATCATTATTATTTTTTTCATTATCTTTAAGAGATTTTTATGATATTTTTTGGAGCAATGCAGTAACACAAATGATGATATTTTCTCTTCTTTATTTAATATTGAAAATAAAACTGATATGGAAAGTGTGAATAGTTTGAAACCAAAAACATATCGACTTTTTTATATAGAATAAAATAAACTTGAATAAATGTATCTTTAAACCTAAAATAAAGTACCTACATATGTACATATATATGAATTAACATTTAAGTTTCATTTGCATTTAACCTAGCTCATCTATGTATATAAATTCCTAAACAAAGCTCATAAACGAACCTCTGTAAGTACAAACGTAAACCAATAAAAAACTCCTTAACTTAAACTCTTAGTAAGTAAAAACCTCAATAACTTAAATTTTTTAACGTTTCCCTTGGTCTTTATCTTTTCGAGGTTCTACTGTAGTTGTAGCACGAATGGGTCAACTCGACCGGGAAATGACCACGCTTTTACAGGATAATAATAATAATAATGCCTGTCCTCATGTATACCTTTGGCATACTCAGGTGGACTCAGACTGAACTTAACGCCCTGGATAGAAAAGTCCGCACTACAATGACGTCCCATAGGATGCATCATCCGAGATCGTCGGTAATGAGGCTGTACTTGCCGCGGAAGCATGGTGGTCGTGGCTTCTTGAGCGCGCTCACCATGCATAATCGCGAAGTGTGCAGCCTCCGTGATTACTTCCTGGCGAGATCGGATGATCCATTCTATAAGGACGTCATTTCTTGTGATAAAGGACTTACCCCCTCTATCCTTAGCCAACGAGCAATGGCAAGACCCGGCAGTGCAGAGCATTTCCGACCGGGAGACCGTATGGAAGGAGAAGGAGCTCCACGGGAGGTTCTACAAGGCTCTACATGAGCCTTTCGTAGACACAGTAGCCTCCCTCCACTGGCTACGCTTTGGTGATCTCTTCGGGGAAACCGAGGGTTTTGTCTGTGCAATACAGGATCAGGTTATTAAGACCAACAACTATCGGAGATACATCCTAAAGGATGGCACCGTCGACATCTGTCGAGCTTGTCGCCATCCCGGTGAGTCACTTAGGCATGTTATCTCCGGTTGTTCGGCGCTTTCTAACTCTGAGTACTTGCACAGGCACAACCTAGTAGCCAGAATTCAACACCAGGAGCTCGCTCTGAAATACGGTCTCGTGGATCGGAAATTGCCGTATTACAAGTACTTGCCGGAAGCCGTGCTCGAAAATGATCGCGCCAGGCTCTATTGGGACCGGGCCATCATCACAGACAGGACTATTCTTGCGAATAAGCCTGATATTGTGCTGATGGACCGGGCACAGTCAAGGATATTTTTGGTCGACATTACCATTCCGTATGACGAGAACCTCGTGAAAGCCGAAACAGACAAGCAAACAAAATATCTGGACCTGGCTCACGAGGTGACCGACATGTGGGGTGGTCTGCCGACCGAAATTATTGCTGTAGTCGTCTCTGCAAACGGGCTAATCCCAGTCAGCCTCTCGGGTCATCTGAGGCGGCTGGGACTACGTGGCGGACCGCTCCAGGTTCAAATGCAGAAGGCGGTGCTCCTCGATACCGCCCGCATCGTCCGCCGGTTTCTTTCCCTTTCCCCCTAACCCTCGGCCGTTTGGTCTCCCCTGCCGAGGGCCTCCATCTGGTTGGGCTTTTATTTATTTATGTACTTTTATATTTATTTTATGTTATTGATATTTATGTATATTTGTCTTTTCATTTTCATTTATAATTATATATTTATAGCACCCAACCAGATGAGAAAACTATATAGATACCCCAAAATAATAATAATAATAAGGATGATGGAATACGGAAGAACGCGCAAAGGGCCGCTGCCTGGAGGTCGCCAGGGCGCGTCTGGAGCTGGCGCTGGACGCGACAGCATGCGAACCGCCAGCCGAGCGAGAGGTGCTGCACGACCACCCATCAACCCCTCGCATCCATCATCCCCACCATCTGGCTTGGTGTCGGCAGGGTCTTCGCGGGCCCAGCAATCGGCACCCGCCACAGGTATGCGATGGACAATCAAAATGAATACCAACGCACTGCGGGCGTATTTTAGGGCGAAAGGGGGAGAAGTTGGAGGTTTGGCATATCGGGCTAGGATGCATCGTTTTTTGCTGAGATGGAGCCATCTATAACCGTCACCGAGCAAAATCTGGCAGACCGAGTTCGGTATATCTTGCGCTCAAATATATTTGATGTTGCCGAACTCGAACGACTACGACGTGAGGATGTTCCTTCATCGGGTGAAAATGCTACGGCTGAGGATGCGGCGCCACAACTTGCAGAGCAAACGGCAAATGTGGATGCCGTCGTGAATACCCCAGTTGTGGTTGATTCAAACGATGATGGAACAATCACCCAGGAACTGGAACTAGAGCAAATGAGGAGTACATTGGAAGAGGCGATTGTGGAAACGCGCAGTACGCCTTTCGAAAATCAAAAATCAAAATAAGCAAGCGGAATCGGGCTGCCGTGAGGGCTCTGAACCCAATGCTGGTGACCTATTTGGAAGCCAGCCGGAACCTTTGCGAGACGGACTCAATTCTTTTTGGCACCGCACTGGCAGTCTGCCGTATTATAGACGCCAAACTCTCCACGGCTGGACGCGCTACTGGACAAAGTAGTGCTATCCCAGACTGGAGAATAGGAATTGAAGAACGTATCGCAAAGGCTAGGGCCCTCATCGGCAGACTGATATGCTTCAGGGCAGGCAATACCAGGCCAAGGATTGCGCGCACCGTCAGGATGGCGTTTGCTGGGACAAATGTTAGTTTGTACTAGCCGGATATAATGCAAAAATTGACGGAGCGCATAGACGACCTGAAGCAGAGAATCGCTGCTTGGGGAAAGCGGATTCGGCGATACACCGAGAGGTCGACACGATTCAACCAGAATCGTCCAGAGTGATCAGAAGAGGCTTTATAAATCATTGGAGCGACCAATGGTAAGTGGAACGGGCCCAGCACCGAATCAGGCCGACACGGTCGCATTCTGGCGCAGCCTGTGGTCAGAGCCCGTAAACCACAGTGAGGGCCCTTGGACAGAAGTTGTGGCGAGTCAGTGTGCGGGTATAACGCCCATGGACCCCGTCATCATAACGCCGGATAACGTAGCTGAGGCGGTCCGCAGGGCCCCGAACTGGAAAAGTCCGGGGCTTGACGGGTTGCATCACTACTGGCTGAAGGAGTTCATGGTGTGTCACGCTGTGCTCGCCCGACAGTTTCAAGAGAAGAATCAGAAGTCGCTCCCAAGCCTCTTCACTACTGGGATCACTCATTTGGTTCCTAAAGACCAGGGTACCACAGACCCGAGCAAATAGCGCCCCATCACGTGTCTACTGACTATATACAAGACACTAACATCCATTTTGAGCGCGAGAACCACTCGTCACCTGGACTCAAATCAGGTGATATCACGCTCTCAAAATGGATGTCGGGGCGTGGAACCAAGGAACCACTCCTTATTGGCAAAGTGGTGAAACGCAACCGTCGGAACTTCTCCGCCGCCTGGATAGACTACAGAAAGGCATTTGACTCGGTGCCCCATACATGGCTAAAGAGGGTACTCGAGCTGTACAAGATTGACTGTACAGTTCGAGACCTCCTCGGGCAGTGTATGGGGCAGTGAAGTACGATTCTCTGTCATCTAGGCGAGCGGATAACGGCTGCGGAAAGCCGCATAAGGATAAGAAGGGGTATATTCCAGGTCTGAGTCCAGTCTGGTTCTGCCTCTCTTTGAACCCTCTCAGTACTTTAATGAAGGGCTACGGGAGGAGATTTCAGCTTCGGAAAGGAGGTACAAAAGTGACCCACCTTTTCTATATGGATGACCTCAAATTATTCGCCTCCAGTCGCTCCCATCTTATGGAATTGCTAAACATCACTTGTGAATTTAGTAGCAATTCTATTGGAATGGAGCTGGGGACGGATAAGTGTGCGGTCCTCCATGTTGAAATAGGAAGGGTTGCTAACTCTGAGGGCATAAACTTATCTATGCCCGTCAACTTAAGAACCCTTTCCGAGGCTGAAACATACCGATACCTGGGTATGTCACAGAACATCGGTATCGATGAGGCTGGTATGAAACAGTCAGTTTGCGACATGTTTTATCCACGCTTGACCAAAGTGCTTAACAGGCTTTTGTCCGGTGTGAATAAGGCACACGCATATAACGGCTGGATCATGCCTGTCCTCATGTATACCTTTGGCATACTCAGGTGGACTCAGACTGAACTTAACGCCCTGGATAGAAAAGTCCGCACTACCATGACGTCCCATAGGATGCGTCATCCGAGATCGTCGGTAATGAGGCTGTACTTGCCGCGAAAGCATGGTGGGCGTGGCTTCCTGAGCGCGCTCAGCATGCATAATCGCGAAGTGTGTAGCCTACGTGATTACTTCCTGGCGAGATCGGATGATCCATTCTATAATGACGTCATTTCTAGTGATAAAGAGCTTACCCCTCTATCCTTAGCCAACGAGCAATGGCAGGACCCGGCAGTACAAAGAATTTCCGACCGCGAGACCGTATGGAAGGAGAAGGAGCTCCACGGGAGGTACTACAGGGCTCTACATGAGCCCTTCGTAGATACAGTCGCCTCCCTCAACTGGCTACGTTTCGGTGACCTTTTCGGGGAAACCGAGGGTTTTGTCTGTGCAATACAGGATCAGGTTATTAAGACCAACAACTATCGGAGATACATCCTAAAGGATGGCACCGTCGACATCTGTAGAGCTTGTCGCCATCCCGGTGAGTCACTTAGGCACGTCATCTCCGGTTGTTCGGCGCTTTCTAACTCTGAGAGCACAGGCACAACCTAGTAGCCAGAATTCTACACCAGGAGCTCGCTCTGAAATACGGTCTCATGGACCGGAAATTGCCGTATTACATGTATTTGCCGGAAGCCGTGCTCGAAAATGACCGCGCCAGGCTCTACTGCGACCGGGCCATCATCATAGACAGGACTATTCTTGCGAATAATCCTGATATTGTGCTGATGGACCGGGCACAGTCATGGATATTTTTGATCGACGTTACCATTCCGTATGACGAGTACCTCGTGAAAGCCAGATAAACTAACAAAATATCTGGACCTGGCTCACGAGGTTACCGACATGTGGGGCTGGCCAAAATTATTCCTGTAGTCGTCTCTGCGAATGGGCTAATAATCCCAGTCAGCCTCTCGGGTCATCTGAGGCGACTGGGACTCCGTGACGGACCGCTCCGAGCTCAAATACAGAAAGCGGTGCTCCTCGATACCACCTGCATTGGCCGCCGGTTTCTTTCCCTTTCCTCCTAACCCTCGGCCGTTTGGTCTCCCCTGCCGAGGGCTTCCATCTGGTTGGATCTTATTTACTTATGTATTTTTTGTATTTATTTTATTTTATTCATATTTATGTATATTTATCTTTTCATTTTAACTTAAAATTATATATTTATAGAACCCAACCAGATGAGAAAATTATATAGATACCCCAAAAATAATAATAATAATAAAGCCTCTTTATTCCTTATCCCTACGTTTCTACATTTTACATTTCCATGTTGATTAGTACTTATTGTTAGTATTATTAGCTTATTTCATATTAGTTATTGTTTGTACGGTTAACTGTGTATATTTTCAGAGATATGGATCCCATTTTGAGTAAAGGCCTCCTCCATCTGATTCCACATTTCACTATTTATACTTTTGCTCATCCAATCTTTTCCTGCATATTGTATTATGTCATCGGCCCACCGTTTATGTGGTCTACCAACTTTCCTTTTGCCAGATATTGGTCCCTTCCATCGTGTGGTTTGTATTGTCCATCTATTATCTTGGTATTGTGATATGTGTCCTGTCCATTTCCACTTTAACCTTAAAGCGTGCGTGAGTGCATCTGTTATTTTTGCTCTTTTTCTTATTATATTGTTTTTGACTTTATGTATTTTATTTATATTTAAAATGCTCCTTTCCATTGCTCTCTGTATTGTATATATTTTCTGTCTCACTTTGTTTGTATATGTCCAAATCTGGCAGCCGTATAATAGACTAGGTAAGAAACAGGTGTCCATTACAGTACTCTTTATTTTTATACTGTAATTTCCTTTGAAAATTTCTTTTAGTGACCAAAACTTTCACAATGCAATGTTTTTTCTTCTTTCTACTTCGTCTTCGTTGTTGGTTTTCATGAAGGATATTGTTTCCCCAAGTAAATGTAGTTTTTTACGTATTCTATATTGTTTCCTTTTACGTTGATGGGTATGTTGTGACTATTGGTCATTATCTTAGTCTTGTTTATATTCATTTCCAAACCTACTTTTGAACTTTCTTGGTCTAGTGAGTGTAGCATATCCTTAAGTTGTTTAGCTGTTTCAGAAAATATGACTATGTCATCTGCAAACCTAAGATAATTTAAACGACAGCCATTAATATTAATGTCATATTTTGTCCTATTTAACTTTTTAAATATATTTTCCAACACCGCGATGAAAAGTTTCGGCCACAAAGGATCGCCTTGCCTGACTCCTCTTTCTATTTTTATTTGGTCACCTCTCCTTTCAAGTTTAACCCTGCTTTAAGCTGCTAAAGCCTTAAATCCAAATTGAAACAAAACTACTAATTAAAAAACGCACATAATTAATAAACACAAAGAAGAAAAACAAAGAAAAGAAAAATGAACTTACCAAACTCTTCAAACTCACTAATAAATCCATAAAGATTTAACCAAACTCTTCAAACTCACTAATAAATCCATAAAGATTTATTAGTGAGTTTGAAGAATTTGGTAAGTTCATTTTTCTTTTCTTTGTTTTTCTTCTTTATGTTTATTAATTATGTGCGTTTTTAATTAGTAGTTATTTTACAATTTGGATTTAAGGCTTTCAGTGTATTTTTTAATTTCGTAATCTGTTGTTGGGTTTTTTTATTGAAGTTTGAAATGTTTTTCTGCTTTTTTTTGGTATAAATGAAACGTCGCTCGTAGTAATCTGTGGTCCGAAGCAAATTTGACTTGGTATAATATAAATAAAAAAAAATCGATTTTATTTTTGATCTTCTGATTAGGTGACGTCCAGGTCCATCTTCTTTTGGCTTTTTTCTTGAAGAATGTGTTCATAATTGACAAATTGTGTTCGAGAGCAAAATTTATTAGTCTTTCGCCTCTTTCATTGCGTTCTCCGTACCCGTAGCTTCCCATACACAAGCATTCTTCTTTCTTGGGCCACCCTATTTTAGGGATAATGTCACCAATAATTATTATTATATTGTCTGCTAAAGAGTGTGCTTTTACCATATCGCTGTAAAAAGTCTCGATATCTTCTTCTTGAGATGACTCTGTTGGTGCATATGCCTGGATTATAGATATATTAAATTCCTCGGTTACTAGTTGCCGTAGAGCAACCCTTTCAGAGATGCCTGTGAAATTAGATATCATATGTTTATGTTTTTTCTTTACCAGGAATCTTACCTCATGTAAGCCTTTTGTTTGCCCAATGTAACATAGGATGTACTCTCGATATTCTTCAATGCTGTAACCAGTTTTCTTTACTTCGGATAAACCCAGTATTTCGAAATCGATTTCTTATAGTGCATAAGTAAGTTGTAAGTATCGTTCAATTGATGAAAGGGATCTTACATTAAATGTACCTATTTTTAAAGTGGAGTTTTCAACTTGTTTCTTTTCATATCTAACATTTTTGTTTTTATTACCATTTTTATTACAATCTTTACTATTACTCTTGCAATTCTTCAATGGTGGTCTAATTCCCCACGAGGACCAGTCAGCTTGGGGAATACTTCATTGTTATTGTTATTTAATTTTAGTTTTATTTTGTATTTAAACCCTTAGTACGTAAAAACCTCAATAACTTAAATTTTTTAACGTTTCCCTTGGTCTTTATCTTTTCGAGGTTCTACTGTAGTTGTAGCACGAATGGGTCAACTAGACCGGGAAATGACCACACTTTTACAGGATACCAGTGTAAAAGAGCGACTTATCGCTGCTGTTTTACGTATGGTGAGTGTACGTAACCGTTGACTCTTATATCCACTCCAACGTCAAAGTAAGCTGTTAGTCGCGAGTGTGTCGAATGTCGGAAAAGTAAAGGGGGTGCCATAAAATGCAATATCTGATATACTTAGGAGGATAAACAAACCACCGACTACTTTTTACCAATATCCATCAAAACTGTCCATGCTTGATCTTTATAAATATCTATTCACGTCTATAAAAACATAATAAATGACTACAAAACTTGTGCAACTTTTAAAGTTACCTTATATCTGAATGCGATTGTGTAAAATCAAGTGTCTTATTTCCGTACACTGGCTATAATTAT